GGGGTGAGACAACATGTGCAGTGGACACCTGCGGAGATTGCAACTACCTGCGAAGAATATTGAAAGTGCAAGTCGATGTCAACATCTGCTACCTCATCCTGGAGCCAACATGAACTTCAACAACATCGACGGCATCAATAAGAAAACCCCATCAAATTAACGTCAACAGTCGAACATATATATGACTTTCGAGCGCGCCATTATCATCATTACAGGCGTCACCAGCAGCCAAAACACTCTTGATTCGATCCATGTTCGACTATCCTGTCAAAACATCAGCAACACGTCGACGCAATGAAGTTCTCCGCCATCTTAGCCACTTTCATCACTGCCGCATTAGCTGCCTCAGCCGTTGAGTCTAATAAATCTGAAGCCCAACCAGCACTCGCGACTATCGAGAAGCGATGCCTGTCCAACGGAGGTGCGTTCTTTCTAAGAATGAGTTGAGGTAGCTGTGGTGTGCTAACGGATAATAGTTGAGTGCACCAGCTCGCCGAACGGTTGTTGCAGTGGATTATGCTTTGCCGATAAGGGTCTTGGTATTTATCGATGCGCTGGTCTTTCGAAACGGTAGATAGATGACGGCTTAAGAAGGAGGACATGAGAAGAAGGTGATGCTGTTATTCTCTATTGCTTCGAAGATGAAGAGGAAACTCAAATTGATGACTTGGTACGGGAACTTGGAATTAGTTGTTTGAATTCATTTTTTTTTCCGAAACATTTGGCACTCGTACGACAGTACAGTGCTTGTACTATACAATGAGGTGATATCATCCTGACCCGAAATACATGATGTCGCAAACGCCGCATGATACTGTTCAACCTCTCGAGACCTCCTATTGTACACACCACCTTCCATGTTCCCATCCCACATATTCCGTATCAATCCCCAGCTGAGCCTCAATTATCATCTCCAGCTTTTTCACGCCCCAAACAATCCTACCTCTCCAACCCCTTCCCCTCCGGATCCTCATCCCCCTTCGTCTCCTTGACATCCTTATACGGCCGCCCCGCATACAACATATACCCCTTCTCCTCAATCGTGCCAACCTTCTCATCCGCCTCCGCGCGCCCTTGGCCAAACGCGCCCGTCTCCAGCTGTCCCTGCACAGCAATCGGCCTATTCCCGCGGAACCGCTTGCGCATATCAATCATGCCCTTTTTGCATTCCGCGTAGCCTTTTTGCAATTGCTGGCATTGGGTGGGGAGTGTGTATTTGAGGGGCGGGCGCAGGCAGTCGCCGGGGGAGTGCCGCTCGACCATTATGCAGTCGCTGTTTTGGAGGCAGAAGGCGAGCGCTGCGCCTGGAGGGAGCTGTTAGATGGTGGCTTGGAGAGTTGGGCAGTCGGAGTGTGGCGTACGTATGTCTTTACATGATTGCGGCATCTTGAGGGTTCGATTGAGGGTCACCGAAGCATTGGCGATGGTGGTGAATGTGGAGTGATGGCGTCGCAAAAGTATGTCGGCGGGTTGGCGCGCTGAACGCCGACGCTAAGGTGCGCGATCACATGCTAATAAATGAGCGCGCTCGTGAACGTCATTTCCCCACAGGAAGCCGCCATGACTTTGTTAGGTATCGTTTCACGTTCCATTTGAAGTCTTTTATTATTCAATATTCTCGCTCCAGCTTCGAGACTTCAGGCATGGAGCGAGTGGAGCCTCAATTGACCCCGCCTTGATCGTTCGATCCCGTCCGAACCCCGTGGAGATCAACATAGCCGTTTCGGCTACTGCTCACGCAGTACCAACACTCCAATACCTGGGCTACACAGCATATACAATGGCGCTCCACATCCCATTCCTCTCGCGCCTGCATATCCGCGAATACTTTGCCCTCGTCCTCTCAATCTTCCTCATCGCGCTCGAATCGTTCATCGCCGTCATCACCCTCGCCCTCCCAACGCCCATCATCAACTTCTGCTACCGCCTCACCCGTCGGCTATTCAACCACCTCTCTTCCCCATCGTCAAAACGCTCGCGACAGAAGAAGAAAGGCGTATGGAGCTCAATCGCAAATGCTTCGGACTTTACAGAGCTATGCGAGCTCTACGGATATTACTGCGAGGAGCACATTGTACAGACAGGTGATGGGTACCTACTTGGTCTACATAGGCTAGGATGGCGCCAGGGAGAAGAGGATGTTCGAGTGAATGGTGGAGACAAAAGCAAGGGCGTGAAGAAGAAGGTCGTATATCTACACCATGGATTGATGATGAATAGCGAAGTATGGGTGTGCAACACGGAAAGAGAGCGATGTCTCCCGTTCGAGCTCGTTGAGAGGGGCTACGACGTCTGGCTCGGAAATAATCGGGGCAACAAATACTCCAAGAAGAGCGTACATGCTGCGCCAACATCGAGCAGCTTCTGGAATTTCAGCATGGATCAGTTCGCTTTCCATGATATCCCAGACTCGATTGCGTACATTCTAGAGACAACGCATCAGCCAAGTCTATCCTACATTGGATTCTCTCAAGGAACTGCTCAAGCGTTTGCGACGCTGTCGATTCATCCTACGCTGAATGAGAAAGTGGATGTCTTCATTGCGCTTGCCCCAGCCATGTCACCAAAGGGGATTGCCTCTGGAATTGTGGATTCGTTTGTCAAAGCTTCTCCGGATATTCTATACCTCACTTTCGGCCGGAAATCTATCCTGCCTTCTGCGACAATGTGGCAATCAATCCTGTATCCGCCTATCTTTGTTCGGCTCATCGATACGTCGCTTAGATTTCTCTTTGGATGGACTGCCGTCAACATTACACCTTCTCAAAAATTAGCGGCGTACCCACATCTTTATTCGTTTACATCTACCAAGAGCGTTGTGCACTGGTTTCAAATCATCCGCAACGGTGTTTTCCAGATGTATGACGATGAAGCGCCAAATCCAATCACTTCGAACCGATCAAAGTACTACAAGGTTGCCAAGTTTCCAACAAAGAACATCAAAACCCCCATCGTGCTTGTCTACGGTGGTTCCGATAGTCTCGTGGACATCAAAGTCATGCTAAAGGAACTACCTCGCCACACGATAGCGAAGGAGATTCCGCATTATGAGCATCTAGACTTCCTCTGGGCACAGTCGGTTGACGATCTCGTATTCCCACATGTGTTTGAAGCCTTAGACGAGTACACAGGCACAGATAACGGAGCCATAGAAGGCCAAAAGGAGAAGCGTTGGCGATCACCAGGCCGTTACCGCGGTCTCTTACCTGATTATAGTGCTCTTCCTGGGCCGGACGATGAAGACGCAGGCGACGAGAGCGCCTCGAGCCCAGTAGCTTTGCGATCCCGGAAGATTTCACCCAGTACACGCAAACCCACATTCCACAACGACGGCGCACCCGAAGAAAAGCACGCATCACCACACTCCTCGCCCACCCCAGCGTCAAAGATCCCCCATCTAGCCAGCAACAAGAGCCGCACAGAAGGCAAACGCTCCCCGCCTAGAAGCAAAGTCATGTCTCCCCCACCACCCACCTCCAGACTCCGCTCCCGCACCCTCGAATCCCCAGTCGCATCCGTCGACGCCTCGCACATGACAAGCCAGACTGCCACCTCCAGCCGCCCCGAAGGCTGGTGGTCCTCTGACGAAGTTGCTGGCACCGAGCAGTCGCAACCGTCCACACCGCCGCATACAGTCAGTAAGAGTCCCAGACGCACTAGCTTTGACAGCCATACAAGTACGAACTCACTTACAGGTCGCTTTGGCGATAGGGGTATAAGGCTTGGAGTGGGTAAGGCGGTTAGTGGGGTTGTTGAGGGCGAGGGGTTGGGGAAGGGAACGGGGAGTGGAAAGGAAGGGGAGAGTCTACTTGGTGTGAGCTCGGATGAGAAGGGGAGGAGGAAGAGTGTTGGGAGTGGCAGGAGAAAGAGGGGGCCAGCTGGCGTACCTGTTGCGCTGTGAGTTGGTGGTTGGTGGTGTGAGGATATATGTGTAGTTTTGTTCTGAAGTTGGAGGGCTTATGCCTGGCGTGTACATAGCTTCTTGTATCAGTGTGCCAAACACAACATACACTTGAGCCCAGTGCCCTTAACCTCCGAATCTGTCCATTAAGTGTTAGCGTGACGCTTCGCAATACAGACTGGAGTTTATCATACCTTCTGAACAAACTGCTTGATGAAAGCCTTCCTGTCCTCGCCTGTTCCTCCGGCATCTTCATCTTCGTCGACCGCCAGCACCACCACATCATCATCAGCGAGGTTGTTCCAGGCCTCAGGCTCTTGATCCGCATTCCCCAAAGTCGTCTCATCAAATCCATGGTCCTGAACATCCACATCAGCATCTTCCTCCTCAATCTCTCTCGCACACTTATAGGCTGAGGCTGCGTGCTAGCTTTCTCTGCCTGCATCATCTCTAACCGTACGCTGAACCGGCCCTCTTTGATAGTCTTCAGATTCTGCTGGTGAAGCTCTGCTATCTCGTTCCGAGCTCGAGCCTCGGTTGAGTCCTTGATTTTTAACGTTTGCATATTTGTTTTTAGACCACGCACTTAGTGTGTACACTTCGCATGGTCTGGGTTCTATACCGTATTTTCCTGCTCTCTTCGTTTTAGCTAGCAGGGGGCGGGCCTTTTAAGAGGTGATGCACTTCGTACATATAGGCCTCTAGCTAATCTATAGCTTTCTATAAAGCTTTTTATAGCAGCGTGAAGAGATTACGTAGAGGGATACGACTCTATTTATAGCTTTATTTAGTAGCTTAAAAGGATATGTAGAGGGATATAGGTTTATTTAAAGCTTCGTGCAGCAGCTTAAAGAGATACGTAGAGGGATACGTCTGTTTACAGCTTTCTGTTAATGAAGTAAAGTCTTAAACGAGATGGCAGAGCTTCACTAGCAGAATCTGAAATACTCAAAAGGAGGGCCGGTTCAGCGTACGGTCAGAGATAATACAGGCAGAGGATGCTGCGGAAGAAGCGAGAGAGGATGAGGAGGAGCATGCTGATGTGGATGCTGAAAAAAGTACGTGGTCCAAAAAGAACAATAAAAACTCCAAAAATCAATGACTCAAGCGAGGCTCGAACTCGCGACCTTTCGCGATTTCACGATGAATGTGAGGCGAACGTGATAACCAACTACACCATCGAGCCGATCTGATTTGTTAAAGTTTGAAATTAACAACACTATATCCTTGGTAACCAGACTCCCCGGAGTGATGATGCGAATGGCCCCTGAGTGGTGCAGCGGGGCAAAGCGCGAAGTGGGGAACTTCAAACTTCCTGCACCGCTGAGTTGCCGACCATTACTAAGTGCAATATTGCCGCACCCCTCGCATGTGATATACGTGTACCTTTGAAAGGGTATACTTGAGATGCGCCTAGATTGTTAGTATACCGCCAAGTCAGCTATTGGTCCTTCGTCGTCCCAATGTAGTGAAAGGTTCTACTGCCAGCGTCATCGGACGCGAAGCGAGGTAAGGAGTCCATCTAGTAAGCTTGTGCGTCCGTCGATCTAGTGAGGATTTCCAGCATTGTGTTGATGACTGCTTGCTCGCATTGGGCCATGACTCCGGTACCCAGGACAGTATATAATGCCCATGCTAACAAGGGGGAACTTGAAGTATTGCTTACCATCGGTCTGGTCTAAGCACTCGTTTGCGATTGCGATATTTTTCTTTCTAGACGTTGACATTGACTAAATTGCCTGATTAGGTTCAATCCAAAATGTCGACTCTCAAGGAACAGCTACCATGGACTTCGTCACCTATCATTGTGAACGCCCCAATGGCTGGCTTTGCAGGTGGTAAACTCGCCTCCGCTGTGACGCTTGCAGGCGGACTAGGTTTCGTTGGCGGCCTCTCCGACATGAAGGCTCTGCGCAAGGAGCTGCAAATTGTCTCCGAAGCTTTCACATCTAGTCCAACACTATCAACATCCAGAACGACGGTCCCTGTTGGCCTGGGTGTACTTCCCTTCATCCAAAATCTCGAAGATGTCGTACCTGTTATTGGAGACTTCAAGCCCGCGGCGGTCTGGCTCTTCGCAACCAAATCGTTAGACGACTATGCCGTATGGGCATCGGCAGTTCGCAAAGTCTCTCCGGAGACCAACATTTGGATTCAAGTGGGCAGCGTCTCCGCCGCGTTGTACATCGCCAGAACTGCTAGGCCAGACGTACTCGTCCTGCAAGGCGCTGACGCAGGCGGTCATGGTTTCGAGAAAGGCGCGGGTATCATCTCGCTGCTGCCCGAAGCATCTGACACCCTCGCTACAGACGGGTACTCCCATATCCTACTAGTAGCTGCCGGTGGTATCGTGGAAGGCCGAGGCGCCGCGGCAGCTCTCGCGCTTGGTGCGCAAGGCGTGGTGATGGGAACCGGCTTTCTGGCAGCCCAGGAAATCAATATCCATCCAAACTACCAAGCTTCGATTCTGGAAGCGCAGGACGGTGGACAGGTAACGACACGCTCGAAAGTGTTTGATGAGTTGAATGGTCCGAATCTCTGGCCTAAAGAGTACGATGGCCGCAGTTTGATCGTCCAGAGCCATAAAGATCATGTGGAGGGGCTCGGTCTGGAGGAGATCCAGAGGCTACACAAGGAGGCTGTCGGCGAGGATGATAAGGGTTATAAGACGGGATTGCAAGGACGAGCAGCGATCTGGGCGGGTACAGGTGTTGGCTTGGTGAAGAAGGTTGAGAGTGCGAAGGATATCGTGGAAGATTTGAGGCGCGATGTGAAGGAGATCCTGGGTAGAGTGGCTAGAATATGAGAGCCATTAGACTAAATAAGCAAATACAAGCCTCTCCAATATGAGATTTAGCTGACCTGTGCTGTTTGTTGTTCAAGCACCTGCACTTCCAGAAGCTGCCTAGTGCCACTAGACTACTTTCGGTTAGGGGCGCTTTCTACGTAAACGCCCACCTGCATCCCGTCCCGCAGTGCCCTCATTTACTCACTTCATGTCTTCAATTGAATGCTCAAGGCTCATGTAGTATGACACTAAGCACCCACTCTATTTTTGTATCCTAGTTTTTAGCACTTCGAGGACCCCTAGCAAAAGATCTTGCACACATCTCAGTCATGTGAAAGTGTAAGCCTGCGACGATTTTGAAAGCACTCTTTGCTTGTCGTTCGCAAGTTTTCAACAATCTAGGCATAGTATGGAACCTACAAGAAACCTCGAAGTCGTCAAGGAGCTTTGTTATGGTTGCGAGAAATTAGGCAGAATCGATGTAGAAATCCTTCACCGCCGCGCGAAAGAGCAGTGTCGTTTTGCTCGTTTTGCCTTGACATGCATCCAATGGGTCGAGTCGATGTTTCTGAAAGACCAAAAGATTTTGCGAGCACTCATCGTTGGAAGCGGCTTGATACGAACCGAGACAGAGGAAAATGGTCAGGTCTACACGCAGAGTCTCGAGTTGTTGCAGGTAAATGGTGAGTTTTCCCAGACCTGCTATTACATGCTCGATTTCTTTTTGCGAGTATAGAAGTATAAATATGCTAATAGTCCTTCAGACGACCTGTCGCATGGCATACCTCTCAATGGTGGGGAGTACGTGCGGCTTCTACCTGAGCACACCTTATCTGACTCTACTTTCGAAACGATCAATGAATGGCTCAGAGTTTGCTTGACAGACCACACAGACTGCAATCCCACGCGATCTCAATCAAATGGCGACCTCGCTGGACTTCGTTTTCTGCACATCTTCGAGAACTCAGTAGTCCTAGTAAATAACGTGCAGCCCTCTCGATACGCCGCCCTCAGCCATTGCTGGGGCTCAGGAGCAGACATCACCAAAACCACCACCCACAACCTGCGCCAACACATGACCACAGACATAGCCCTCACTCTCCTCCCAAAAACATACCAAGACGCCATCCAAATCTGCCGCAGACTCAACATCTCGTACCTCTGGCTCGACAGCCTCTGCATAATCCAAGACAACCCGCACGATTGGCGCCTGCAAGCCTCCCTCATGGAATCCGTCTACCGCAACGCCTTCCTCACAATCGCCGCATCCAAAGCTTCCTCCCCACCCAAGGCATTTTCGCCGCCATCCCGCCCTCCCTCCGCGGCTCCCTCCTCCTCCCCAACTTCCCCGACATCCTCATCCGCCGCCGCTGTCCCCCCATCCGCAAAACCTTCAAAACCTACCGCCTCAAAGACGAAGAAAACGTCTGGCCCCTCTACGACCGCGGCTGGACGTTCCAGGAGCTCAGTCTCGCGCCGCGAGTATTGCATTTTGGCGCGCATCAGGTTATCTGGCAGTGCGATACGCTGGGGTTCAGGGGCCAGAGCGATTCGGCGCGATACAGCAAGGTGGCGTATACGGGACCGGAGTACGATAGGTTGAGTGAAAGGAATGCGGTGAAGCAGTGGTATACGACGATTCAGGCGTATTCGGCAAGGAAGTTGACGTTTCAGAAGGATAGGCTGCCGGCGATTGCTGCGATTGCGAAGCGCGTGCATGGGTTTCGGCCTAAGGATGAGTATTTGGCGGGGCTTTGGAGGGACACGCTGTTGTTTGATGTGTTGTGGTATGTTGTTGTGACGAATGCGGAGGCAGGGCGGCAACAAGTCGAGGAAGATGTGAGCGTGCGTACAACAGGCGTACCGAGTTGGTCGTGGGCATCTGTGCCTTGGGGTGTTCAATGGCCTTCCTTGGAATCCTATCGGCCGTTTCAGTGCGTGGAAATCCTCAAGACGGTTTATGTTACTGACGGCCCCGTTGTGTCTGGCGAGATTGAAGAAGCATACATACAAATCAAGGCCCCGTTGATCAGACTGGATACACTGTCCTGGCACGGCCATTTTGAAGGATTGAGAGAGTTACGCTCCGACTCTAGATTCGATTTAACCGTTTTGCGGTGTAACTTGGACAACAACGTCCCCCCGGTTCAACGAAGCACTGCACCCTCATCACGAGGGAACGGCCCAACAGCACGAGTCGGAATATGCTCCTCTTCAAGGGAAATTCGCCGTTCCGCTACTCCTCTGGCAACTCAGTGCCTTTCCAAACGGAAGTCTAGAACAACCGATGCTTATAATTGAGACCACTGAAGAAAAGGCGAAATATCGCAGAGTGGGGGTTGTATGGGTTAAGTTTCGCGGTGGCGATTCCGACACCAAACCAAGCACCGATCTATCGACTCAAGGCGAGGCATTGAACTATAATGAGGGCATGATCGCACTGATTGAAAGCATGGAGACGCACATAATCACTTTGATCTAAGAACAAATAGACCCTGTCTATGTTAATGCCCTCCCATGTTATCCTCCGATCTCCCTTTCTACACCAATCCAACTCATACACACCACCCCTCCACCCATCCCCCCCTCTCCTCCTGCTTGCAACGTTTTCCTCCTAAACCCTCTCGTTAACGTCCTCCCTATGCACCTTTCTTCCTGCCTTCTCCTCCTTATCCAACTCCTCCCTGATAGCATTCTCAATCTCCGGCGTCACACCCTGATGTGTGGCCACATGTTCCAACCCGCCCTTCTCACCATGCCCAATGACCAGCTCGTGCGTGTCGTGGTTGATATGCACGTCATCGAGCGTAACAACGACTTCGTCGCCAAAGATCCTGGCCATTTCTTCGAGGGGTATGCCTTTTGTTTCGGGGAGGTGCTATACGTTTCTTAGCATTTGCATTGCGATCAAGTTGAGTACCTAGTGGGGTAACTTGGGGCTGTGCTTACGAAGATGAAAAAGGTGACGCCTAGCGCACAGATGATGATGAAGATCAGGTAAAAGCGCCATCCGATGTTCGCGAATGCGGTGGTCGTCGCCTGAAGATAAACGAGATCTGTAAGTGCAACGGTTGCCATGGACAAGCAGACTCCCTTTGCGCGGATGTGGTTTGGGAAGAGTTCGGAGTAGAATACCACGCCGGCGACATCGACGCCCATGCTGTAGACTGCGAGGAAAAGATAGAACCTGGTTATCGTGTCATTAGTACACTACAGACAGGTTGTGGGTTACATATGGAGGGACGAAAGGGGGTGTCTTACATAGCAACACCAGCCCCCAGCGCAGCTTTATTCGTAGCTGCTTCCGCGTACGTAGCGACGATAGCAGCTTCAATAGCCAGGCACACACCGCAACCGCCGACACCGAAGAGCATGAGTGGTTTGCGGCCGACTTTATC